GCAGAGGGCCCAGTGGATACATGAGGGAGGTAGGCGGAGAGTGGCTTCCCGGAGCAGTGGGCGGGGCTTATCTAGCCTTTCTTCACCTTTATCCCTCCTCACCTGTAGCCATCCTGGTTGGTGCAGGGGTTTCCACACAGGTTGAGGATGAGAAGGCTCTGGGGGAACTCGTCTGTGGGGTCGAAAGAATGAGTGAGGGGCTCATGCCCGCTCTGCCCTGCTCCCCCCACCCCCCTACCCCCGCCCCCCGCCCCCGGAGAGAAGCAAAACCACAAGGAGCTTGGAGCCCAGAGGAGGAAGGACGCCACTGAGTCAGGGCATGCGTGGTGCTCCTACCTAGTTTTAGCATCTCTATCAGGTTCTCAGAAAGGTCCAGAAACTGGAGGTACTGGAGGTCAAGGAGGTTTTCCACCTGCCTGATTTGGTTTCCTGCCAGAGACAGGAAGCTGCAGGGGAAGAGGAAGGACTGCTGGAGGGAGGAGGGCACCGGGTACCTGGGCTCCCCTGTGTTGGCAGCTGGCCGACAAGTGGGGGCACAGAGTGGGGTGAGGAGAGCAGAGCCAGCGGTCTCAGCTGACAGAGAGCCAGGCTTGGAGAGCCCGCAAACAGTTCTAGGGTTCCTCACCACCCAACTCCTTACTCCTTTGCTGTCCTGGTGCCACATACCGCAGGGAGGTGATGCATGCCAAGTTCTCAATTCGCTGGATCTTATTCTGCCGGAGGAAACCATGGTGGGGAAACCAAGTTTAAGGTCAGCTGGGTGGGGAGACCTTTTAAGGGGATGAAGCCCTAAGACCATGCCTAGTCTCAGCTGTAGCTACTCCGCTTTGAGAATGACTACTCAGCCTGACCGTGGCTAGATGCCATTACCTGGGGAAGGTGATTTCTTTTCTCTGGTCAGTGGCTAATGGGTGAACTTGGAGCTAGTCCAATGAACAGAACCAAAGGACTAGAGGAGACTCAATTGAAGGAAATCAAGTGACCAATAGAGAAACGGAACAGGCCTCCTTGGTGGCCTGCGAACCCGGAAGAGCAATGAATCTATGTGAGTTGGCTCACAAGGTTTGCATAGAACTTGAAGGGCTTTGGGCCTGATCATCATAGGAAGAGCTGAAGATCACCCAGCCACCACTGCACAACCTCCCAAAGATCTGGCGGAGGTAGGATACAGGGAAATCTTTTTATCAAAACAGTAACTGAGCACTTATTTGAACATTTTAATGACATTTATTTATCTGCATGCACATGTGTGTGAGTGCGAGTATGTAGTGCGTGAACACACACGCCAAGGATGTGCATGGAGGTCAGAGAACAGCTGGACAGAGTCAGTTTTCTCCTACTATGTGGGTCCTAGGATTGAAATCAGGTCGCCAGGCTTGTCAGGCAGCACTTATACCTACTACGCCATCTTGCCAGTCCTATAGTTAGTTATTTTATTTTATTTTTTTAAGATACAGTCACACTAAGTAGCCTTGACTGGTCTGGAAATCATAAACCAGGCTGACCTCTAACTCATAAGCTGCCTGCCTCTGCTTCCCAAGTGATGGGACCAAAAGTATGCGCTACTGCACTTGTCATGTTTTTAAGACAGGGTTTTGTGCTGGGCCACCGGTGGTGGCACACACCGTTAATCCCAGTACCTGGGTGGCAGAGGCAGGTGGCTCTCTGTGAGTTCAAGGCCAGCCTGGTCTACAGGAGCTAGTTCCAGAATAGCCAAGATTGGTTCATAGAGAAACTCTGTCTTGAAAAAACAAAAACAAAAACAAACAAACAAACAAAAAGACAGGGTTTTGTGTAGAGCCGAATGACTGGAACTTCCTATGTAGCCCAGGCTGACATCGATCTTGAGATCCTTCCTCCTCAGCCTCTTGAATACTCAAGGGACTGCCACGTGCCACTGTCCCCAGCTGGAATGGTGACTCCAGCATGTTCAGGAGCTCTTGGTGGGGTTGGAGTAGGAAATTTTGGTTTGCTTGGGTTTTTTTGTTTGTTTGTTTGTTTTTTCGAAACAGGGTTTCTCTGTGTAGCTGTTCCGAAACTTGCTTTGAAGACCAGGCTGGCCTCTAACCCACAGAGATCTCCTGGCTCTACCTTTCAAGTGCTGGCATTAACGGCATATATCACCACCACTGGGTCAGAAACAAGTCTTTCAATTCAGGAAGATTCCTGATTCATTTGGGAATGTTTCACTTACTTAACATCAAATGCAAAGAGATAAACCGTTCAGCGGTTCTCAAACACACTAGGGAGAGGACAGGAGGCATGGGGAAAAGACTTTACCAATTGCAGGTAGAGGCTGTGAATGTTCTGGAGGCCCTCTAAATTGCTGATAGTGGTAATCCCTTCCCGATCCAGGCGGACAGTCTCGAGTTCCTCAAGAGTGTGAAACCTGGAGGAAAGTGAGCAGAATGGTGCACTAGGGGTCACACCTGCGGCCTGTTAGTGAGCGACAGGAGGGAGGGGAGAGGAGAAGACATGTCTCAAGGAAAGGAAGGGGGCTGAAAGGATTGATGAGATGCCAAGAACAGCTTCTTGACCCAGATAGTGATGTCTAGGTCTTGAGACTGGCTGGTCTCAGGCACATGGTTCTCTATTGGTGGAACTGAGAAAGAGTGGAGCAAAAACTGACGAAGGGCCCTCTGGATAATGGGGGGTGACTGCTCACGGTTCCTGGAGATTCGGAACCAGAGAAGCCTTCCTTAGTCAGTTTGGATGGCAGAGGCAGGGTGGGGATAGATGCAGAAATACTCTCCTACCTTCTGGAAGACTCTTCCTCACTCTGCTTTGAGTCTCACCCATGGAGGAAAATCATTTGTTCCATCCATACATTCATTACTTCCAAACTTACTGAGTACCCTCCAGACAAATGGCATGGGTCCTTGCCCATCACTATCAGGGAAACCAGCCAAACACCTATAGCCAAGTGGATGCCAGAGGCAGGTACAAGAAATGGAAGTGGGCCGGGCAGAGGTGGCTCACATATTTAATCCCAGCACTCGGGAGGCAGAGGCAGGTGATCTCTGTTAAATCCGAGGCGAGCCTGGCCTACAGAAAGGGTTTCAGGACAGGCTTCAAAGGCTGTACAGAGAAAACCTGTCTCAAAAAAATAATGCATTGAATTTTAACTGAGTGGTGGTGGTGCACACATGCCTTTAATCCCAGCACTTGGAAGGCAGGCAGATCTCAGTGAGTTCAAGGGCAGCCTGGTGTACAGAGTGAGTTCCAGGACAGCCATGACTGTTACACAGAGAAACCCTGTCTTGGTGGGGGAGACAAAAAGAAATGAAAGTGGGCACCAACTCCAGAGTGGAGGCATCAGGACCGGCTTCCTAGAGGTGGTAACCAATGGGTAAGCTATGGAAGAGGGATAAGGACGAGACATTTCAAGCAGAACAAATAGTACATGCGTGTATTAATTCAGCCTCTTTCAAACTTCAATGTTTCTGGGAATCCTTTGTGTACTGGAAGATGCAGATTCTAACTCAGTAGGTTTGAGATGGGTATCTTTTTTTTCTTTCTCTTAAAGTCAGGGCTTCATGTAGCCCAGGGTGGCTTCAGACTCACTATGTAGCTGAGGAGGATGGTCTTGAATTTCTGATCTTCTTGCCTCTACCTCTTGAGTGCTGAGAGTACATGAAAGTCAGTTGTTTTTTTTTTAAATTGCTGTCTTCTTAAAAAATATTCATTTATTAAATATATAGTATTCTGTCTGCATATATCCCTATAGGCCAGAAGAGGGCATCTTATATCATTACAGATGATTATGAGCCACCATGTGGTTGCCAGTGCTCTTAACCTCTGAGTCATATCCCCAGCCCTGAAAGCCGGTTTTATGTGGTGCTTAGCACTCTGTCAAGTGAGCTAATCCCTTCCCCCACTGGCGAGTCTTCATTTCTGACAAGAAATCAGGTGATGCCAAGCTGCTCTTACTTCTGAGTAACAAGGGGCAAAAACGTGGTGTGAGAAATTGCACACTTAGGTGTGGCTGGAAATATTTCGGTCCGTGCTGTTCGGATTTTATTCTGGATATAGTAGGTTGTGGAGGAAGCTTCTACCAGGGGATAACTAGATTTATCATTTATAACGATCAATTGGGCAATAACAGAGTGGGAAGGCCAGACTGAGAACTGAACGGAGAATTTCTGAGTTTGCGAGAGCATTCTCTAAGGCAGCTGAGGATAATGAAAAAAGAACCATCTTAAGGAAGGAAACATCATACAGAGAAACCTTGTCTCAAAAAAACAAAAAAGAAAAAGAAAGAAAAACCAACTGGGAAGTACTACCGACTGGAGTATGGTGTAAGTAAAAAGACAAAAATGAGTCCCAGAGTCATGCGGCTCAGCAAACTGAACATCTGCGCTTCAGTCTTCAGTTACCCGCTCCCTTCGCCTGCACTCACAGCTTTTCTGACAGGTCTTCATCCTCAGGGAAGTTCAAGTTCCTCTTGGTGATAAGGGCTTCGGTGATGGGAACTTCCCCTTCCTCGGTGCTCTGGGCAGCATTCTTAACTGTGAAAAGAAGAACAGCCCCTTTGTCACTTGTCTTCATTCTCGGAAACCTGACCTGACTGTCGTCCAATTGTTCTGTTACCCGCTCACCTTCCCGCTCACTTCCCGGCATGACCTAAAGTAAATAGCGGCTGCTTGAGGCTGGAGATGGACGAAGAGGAGCAGAGAAACTTGGCTGGCGGGTGACTAAACCCAGTTTGGAGAGAAGACTGAGGAAACAAGGACAGGGACGTTTGGTTTAGAGTCAATTATTGGTGTGCGGTGGAAGACAGGGATAAATCGGAGCGAAGGATCTGGAGTTAGAAGTGTGTGGGGTGGGGGGACTTCACTGGCCGCAAACTGAAAACACCTGAGTGATGAAAAGAACGGTTCCTAGAGGTCTCGCGTCGTTGCTAGGAGACGGGACGCCACGTAGGCGTGGGGGCGGGCACTATAGGCCCGAGTCTACGCATGCGGATAGCGGCTCCATCCGGCTGCTCGCCTACTCTTTCCGGCCCTGGGCTTTCCTTGCAGCCCCACAATCCTTAGCTCCTTCCGTCTCCGCGCTGTGTTCGTGGGAACTTCCTGTAGCGATGGCTGCGGCGGTGGCGGGGATACTTCGAGGAGGTCTCCCGCCCCGGGCGGGTAAGGAGAAACCCAGAGCCTTACCGCGGACAGGCCGGCGCTCTCTAGCTCCCTCCCTCCTTTCCCTCCGACCTTTCCCGTAGTCTCTGACAGCTCTCGGTGACCCTGCCACTAGCCGGGTCACTGATCTGATTGGGTCCAGTTCCCTGTGACATCCCTCCACCTCCACCCTCACCCCCATACACACTCTGGTAATGACAGCGACTGTGCCACCACCAACAATGCTTATTTCTGCTTTGGGTTTTTCTAACCTTCGCTCAGTCCTTGCTGGGATTTTAATATATCATTTCTTAAGGCCAGCCTGAACCAGCCTCCCCTTCTTCTCTCACAACCCTCGCTTTATAAAGCAGGTTCCTCGTGAAATCCTTTGCTTGTATCCTATTTATTTACACCCCCGCTTAGCTAGTTCACAGTCTAGTTCTGCATTTGCCAAATGCGCCTGTCTCGTCTGTTCAACCCTGTGGAGGGCAGCACGGTGTCCATTCATTTTAGCTAGTTAATGGCATGGTACCTGACACCGGTAAGCATGCATTAGGCCTTTAATGAGTGGATTTGACACCGTACTTTTGGCCAGGGATTGCGGTTATTGTTTTATACTCATTGCCTCATTTGAATCTTACAGCAAAAGCACGTTGGGAGGAAGGCGTTATCTTTACAGATAAGCGCACTGAAGTTGGGACCAGTTCAGTGCAGGGCAAGAATAACACTAACAATCCGCAGAATAGGGCTTACAATCAGTCTAGTTCCAACTCATTCCACAGACACTCGTAACAGGTCTTGCGGCCGATAATCGTACAACCTCTCACCCTGGTAACCTTCCACAGTCTCCGAGAGTCTTCTAGCTGATCCTTTTCCTGCCGTACCTGGAAATTGCAGTGGTGGTCTTTTTTGAGACAGGGTCTCTCCAGGTAACATCTCTGACTGCCCTGGAACTGGCATTGTAGGCCAGTCTGGCCTCGAACTCACAGAGATCCACCTGCCTCTGCCTCCAGAGAGCTGGGATTAAAGGTGTGTGCCAACATCATCAGGTTAAAAAAAAATATATAACTTTTAAAATTCTAGCACTGCACATAAGAAGGACTTTTAGAGGGCTGGGTCTGTAATCAGCTTGGTAGCATGCTTGCTTACCATGTCCAGAAGCCCTGCATCTAATCCCCAACACACTTCAACCAGACATAGAGGCAAATATGCAGACTACAGAGTCCTAAACAGCACTCAGGTGGAGTGGGCAGATCAGGTCATCTTCAGTTATGTGGTGAATTCAAGGTAGCCAGGGCTATGAGAGATCCTGTCTGAAGACAAAAATAGCAACAGTAACAAAGCTGGAGAAATGAGAGTCTAGGGATAGAGCCACTGATAAGGTCCCCCACTGAAAGAAGAGACTTTTTGTGCTGTGTCTAGTTCCGTGTGTCTTTCTTTGTAGGGGTGGGGGTGTTCTTTTCGTCCACTAGAGATAATAAGCCGTATCTTACTGTGTTGCCGTCTTCCAGCATGGCTGCCCACCCTCCAGACCGTGCGCCATGGCTCCAAGGCTGTGACCCGTCACCGTCGCGTCATGCATTTTGAGCGGCAGAAGCTTATGGCTATAACTGAGTATATTCCTCCCAAACCTGCCATCCACCCCAGATGTCTGCCACCTCCTCCCAAACCCCCCAAGGAGGTAAGGAGACTTGGTGTATGTTATTTGCTGGAAGGCTGGTAAATTAGACTCCAAGCCATGCAGGTACTCATGCCATTAAGTGCCCTTTCCCATTTGGAACCCTGCGTGTGTATGTGTGTGTGTATGTGTGTGTGTTATTATATGTGTCTGGAGGAGGTCAGAGGACAACCTTCAGGAGTCAGTTCTCTCCACTGTGTAGTCTTGTTTCTGCCACGCTGCATAATCTGTGCTGCCTGTAAGCCTCTGGTCAGACAAGTTCAAGTTCTGTTTCTGCCCCCGCATCTCACTGTAGGAATGCTGTGAGTGCAGATAGAGGCAACCACATCAGGCTTGTTTGTTTGTTTGTTTTGGGTTTTCAAGACAGGGTTTCTCAGTGTAATCTTGGCTGCCCTGGAACTCAGGCTGTAGACCAGGCTGACCTCGAACTCACAGAGATCCGCCTGCCTCTGCCTCCTGAGTGCTGGGATTAAAGGTGTGCGCCACCACCGCCTGACCTACATCAAGCTTTCTGATGTGAGTTCTGGGGATTGAATTCAGATTGTCAAACTTGCATGGCAGATGCTTTTACTCTGATACTCTGATCCATCTCACCCATCCCAGATTTTTTTTTTAAAGATTTATTTATTTATTATGTATACAACATTCTGTCTCCGTGTATGCCTGCAGGCCAGAAGAGAGCACCAGATCTCATTACAGATGGTTGTGAGCCACCATGTGGTTGCTGGGAATTGAACTCAGGACCTCTGGAAGAGCAGCCAGTGCTC